AGTTCAACAATCAACACAAATAACACGATGAAATATCAAGAAGAAAATGTATGCAAATCTCAAGAAATTTTGTAAACAAACTACACACTCTTTGCCGCCATCTTGTTTTGAAACAGCGCCCCCAACGGTCGATCACCTTGCCAATAGATGGCTCTATTATATGTCAAATCAACGTCAAATTTCCAACTGAGTATGAACAACAAAAACATTGCCGTATGCACTCATTGCAAATTGGTTATTTCCAAATCATTTTGCAAAATAGTGAATAATAAGTTTTGACTTCTTGAAATACGTACAAGGTTTCCAGTATGGAAAAAATTACTTTTTGTGCAGAGAAATTGCCATTTTGATGTGGACAATGGTGGTATTCATCATTGATATCACACTACAATCCTACAGTTTTCAAACATATATGGAATGATCGGAATGGTCCACTCAACACTTGCATGGACTGGAATGGAACAAGAAATAATTGGATTCATCAAGAAATATTACTGGCTTTTATGAAGAAGATGGAATTCTAGTGAAGGGGTTGGGAAAGCAGATATGGTTGGAGAGGTTGCTCAGAATGAACAATATCATCGATTTACATAAACAAGGATCTCCAGCAATCCAGGACTTGAAGTTATTCTCAAGATCAAATCATTGCAACCAACATTTATACAATGATTCTAATTGTGCTTCAGAAAATGTATATTATATTATTATAAGGTAGGTACTGGTTTTTCTTCATTGTAAACAATAAAAGTTCATGCAATAATTCGAGTTTTTTCATCAGGGAGAAATGAAGTTCTGGAATATGCACTTCAACAAATAAATTATTTTCAAATAAAACACATATTTATGAAATTCAAAACAATGGTCGCCATATTTGTTGTTCATACTCGCAAGACTTGTACAGTTAGCCACCAGAGGCCGCACACTTCGTGATTTTCGCGAATTGATGCGAGATTAAGGGACTAGTGATATGAGTTATTTCAATACATTGTATTACGAAGGTGGTGAGTAAATAGGCGAGTGGACTGATTTTTTTATTTCTTAAATAAGAATCTTCACTCAAATACCTTTCAATTTCATATTTTTTTAGGATCCTTGGGTTGATTTTAAGGAGTCAAAATCATCAATAATGCCACGGTAATTTTCAAACGGCTAGAAATTTACTGCGAGTAAAAACTGATGTCACGATTTTGTAAGTAGTAGCAAACCATAGCACAGTTGCCATATGTTGAAATACGATTGGGAACTTCAGAAATATTAATTAGTCAGTAATTCATAAATTCGCAATTATGTATTGGTAATAATATTGCTAATTAGCAATGAGAAATCAATTGTCTCAAAATGTTCCCGCATGTGTTGTGTATTGCTTTTAATGAATTTGTATGAATACAAATCAAATTAATTCACACTAGAGGATATTTGAACCGGAAAACGCTAGGGTAAACATTAGCACGGTGCACGAATTGTGGGCGTGGTCTTGTCAGTTCTCAGCATTTAACACATTAACGAAACAACACAAAAACTGACATCACCATTTATTCGACATATCGCCAAATGGCGGCCATGACGGTACGTCTGAAATGAGCTCTGAAATTCAACAATTTCGAACAACGCATAGATTTATTATTTACATAAAAAAGTGTGAGGATTGTTGCAAAGATTAATCTAGGTCTCTTACGACAGAGTGGAGTAATTAAATGCCAATGATTCATTATCAGTCCACTCGCCCATTGTAATTGGTAGTGGGAAAGTAATCCGGGGATTACAAAGACCTTTTAATTGTTAGAATTACATATTTCAGATTCAATTTTTCAACTATGATTTTGTTCTATATCAAATTTGAATATGGTATTGAATTTCACTTACTCAACTGAAATCAGTTGAGCAAAAAATGTTGCTATGGCAACCATCGTCATCTTAACTAGTAAACAAAAACTCGAATCTGGAATGAGGAAATTCATGGTTGCATAGTTGTTGTCAACTTTCCTTGTGCTGAAATCTGTTGAAGCAAAATTATTGCTATGGTGACCATTCCAATACCAAACCAATATCCTACCTCTATCCTCCCTAGGTATGCACGATGTTCTCTGAACATTATAAGAATTTCCTCTCCAATAGATACATAAAATAAAAACAAGAAAGATAAACTCTCCAAATCAATATTAATAATTGTATTATCAACTTCTATTAATTTTATGTGATAATTTGTATTAGTTCTTGATCCATCTCTAAGACAATGATTTATTGTATCCCCCATTTTCTTTGGGTTGCCTTCAGAGTCCTCGTAATTTTTATTGATATGTTGGGCCTTTGCTCCTTTGATGATAGCATTCACTTTATTTCTTTGTAGTTTATACTCATTGAAGAATTCTGGATTATCATTGTTTTGTTAATGTTTTTCGAATTTAATAATTCTTATTTTGATTTCTTGGATAATATTATCATTTTTCCACTTATGGTTCACAGTTTCACACGTGTTCTGAGATTTGTTTATTCATTTATTTATTCATTTATTATTATTCATACAGATTATACAACCTGGTTACATGGATCATTGAACATAAAAATAACATATTTCAAAGCATAGATTGATAGTAATGATGCCTATACCTACATTAAACATCAAAAATGAAATCTCAAGATACCTATACACAGTGAATACAATCATTGAATCAAGGATTGATCAGCTTCGAGATTAATAATTCTATGTAATAATTATTTAATATTGCAGCTCTATAGGTTTTTTGTGATTCAGTCCAATAGATATTTAAAAAGACATTATATTCGTTCACCAGTCAAAACATGGATACAAGAGATCTGGCGGAGGCTGATGTGGCTACCAGTGGAATGTTAAACATCACAGATGATCAGGTTCTTCTAGGAGGAACATTAAATCGTATTAATGACAGGATTCCTGGAGAGTTGATTCCATTATTGATAATTTTATGCAAAAAGGTTTTAGAAGTCACAATTTCCCGCAATTCTCTAGCAATAAAACTTCAAACTCGTTTCGCAGATCTTTTTTTTTTATATTCTGGTTCCCACGAAAAGGGATATCCTGTAATGATCAGAGAACATCGTGAGAACCAAGGAAAATAAGGTAGGAATTGGTGTTCTTCTTGAATTTCTGGAGGTTATATACCTCGGGGAACACCTCCCTTGGCAATGTGTTCCAGAGCCTCGCTGTTCGTTGGATGAAAGAGTCTTTGAAAAGAGATGTTCTGCAGGTTTTCAAAGTGACCACGAAGAGGTGCGCAGCCCCAACTCTAAGGGTTAATCTCTCGGGAACTGCAAAGGGGGATACAATTGTTGATATTTCAGAAGAGTATCGTCCATGAAAATATCTATAAAATAGAGCCAGATCGCCAACTTCTCTAGGGTGTTCCAGAGAAATGAGTGAGTTTGTGAGCGAGGCATCACCCACAAGACGAATTGCCCTTTTTTGGACAGAATCCAACAATTTCAGGGTATGTTTGGGCACTGCACTCAAAATATGGGAACAGTATTCCAGGACAGGTCGGATCTGTGCCTTATAGATCATAAGCAGCTGACTGAAAGTGAAATAGCTCCTGGCCCGAAACAGAAAACCAAGTTTTTGGGATGCACTTTTAGCAATTGATCTCACGTGATTTTCCCAAGAAAGGTTATTGCCGATAGTAATACCAAACATCGAGATGGATGTCTTCAGAGGTATGGTTACTCATGACAAGCTTATGTTGGGCACAGTGAGATCGGCTTTTCTTGAGAAAAGACATGCTTGTGTTTTGTTTGCATTGAATTTTACCAAGTTATTGGATCTCCATTCGAGAATTGTTGCCAAGTCCATATTTATGTTGTCAACATTTCTCCCTCGTTCGTTTCTGATTTGCCTGGCTGGTATTGGAGCCCTGGAAGAGAAGGCGGTATGGAGGGCACTATCATCCGCGAAGCTGTGTACTGGACATAAAGTTGCTTCCAACAAATCGTTGATATGGAGTAGAAATAGTGTTGGTGCTAGAATTGATCCTTGCGAAACACTACATAGAGAGACCTGTTTGAGAGAAAAGTAGCTAGCAGAGAACATAGCTTGGGAGGCAAGCCATTAGATAAAAGTTTGGCGAGGAGTCCGTGGTGCCAGACTCAATCGAATGCTTTGGAGATATCAAGTGCCACGGCTAAGGTTTCACCATATTTTTCAATAGATTGCTGCCATATATGTGAGGCGTAAGCGGGCAGGTCACCAGTTGATCTCTGATGATGGAAGCCATATTGCCTATGGTTGATAATACCTTAATATTCCAGGTATTTCATGAGCTCGATGTTGACAGTTTTCTCCATGATCTTTGAAATAATAGATAGCAGTGCGACCGGTCTGTAGTTGCTAGGTAGGATCTTTCTGCCTTTTTTAGGAACTGGTTGTACTCTTGCAATTTTCAAGTTGGACGGGAATATTCCCAATTTGTGAGAGTAGTTGAACAACTTTCAAAGAACAGGTGTAATTTCGGGAGCGCATGACTGTCAATTGGCGTTATGTTTGGAGGTTGTTTTCCCGATGGATCCAGAGTGGAATTTCCAGCTAATAAATGCGCAAAAATGTTGGCTCTCTCCTGGGCAGTTGAGGCTAGTGTCCCATCTTCCTTGGTTAGAGGAGGAAACCAGCGTGGATCTGACTATACGATAGTCGGGGTAAATGTGATATTTTTTGAAGTATAGGTAACGCAAAAAATCATTTTAAATGTTCTCCAATTGACCTAGCGCTGCTTGACATTCGCCGAACTGTGAAATGAAAATTTTTTAATAAGATATAGTTTTGATGATGATTGCATTTTTGCTTCCAAAATAATGTTCATCAAATCTTGAGATTCTTCATATTTAGTTTGGAATAATTGATCAGAGACGATCTGTTTGAATTTTGAGAAGTCAATTTTTACTATTTTACGATTTCTAAATTTCTCAAAGTTGATGATAAGTTTGTTAATTGAAGTGAACATTATTATGTGATATAATTGAATGGCCGAACTTACTTCCAAAATAACCTTCTGCTTCGCCATGGCGGCAGTCGCATCTTCGTACATCCGCGTATTGTGGATCCCCATGCCGCAAAAAATCGCGAACGCCTCCACGAAGTTCTCGTCGTTCTTTGTGAAAGGCAGCCGATCGAACTTGTTCACCAGCTGGATAACTCCGATTATTTTGCCCCGAGAGTTTTTGATCGGCATGCAGAGGACGGTGTGGTGCCGGAAGTTGGTGTTTTGATCAACTTCCGGATCGAATCGGGAGTCTTCATAGACGTCGATGAGGTTCACTGTCTAGAAAATACGGGAATCGGTAATTTCAGCATTTATCATGCGATGTTATTTTCCATAATGGAAAAGTGAAGAAACCTCTATTTATCGAGATATTTCACGACGAAGTTCGAAATTTCAAAGTACCCAGGACAGGTGGATTGACACGGTGAAAATGTCGAACCATTCGGTGAAATATCTCGAAGAATAGTGGTTTGTTCACATTTTCATTATTAAATCGTGTTTTTCAGACGAAAATATGTTGGTAACAAAAAATATATGTATTACAGTTTTGGTTGCCGACCGGTCTGACTGTTGAGTGAATAACAATAGATAGATACCGTAACTCATTCATGAATCATTAAAAATTCTGAGTAAACCAACAATCCAACGCCAAACACGGATAAATGAGTGGAATCGCGAGTGGTGAGGATAAATCTGCAGAATCATGTGTGATATTGAATAATGAAGACGCTTGCAGCTGATCGAACTTGTTCACCAGCTGGATAACCCCGATAATCCTGCCGCGGGAGTTTTTGATGGCACATGCATGCAATAGTGGATTTTTCACATTTTCATTACCAACTTCGTGTTTTTCAGACAAAAATACGTTGATGACAAAGAATATATTACAGTTTTGGTTGCCGACCGGCCTGACTTTTGAGTAAATAACAATAGACCGTAAAAAATCCTAGACACCAAACACGAATAAATGAGTGGAATCACGAGTGGTGATGATAACTCAGTAGAATCATGTATGATATTGAAAAATTAAGACGCTTGCAGCTGATCAGACTTATTCACCAGCTGGATAACTTCGATTATTTTGACCCGAGAGTTTTTGATCGGCATGCAGAGGACGGTGTGGTGCCGGAAGTTTGTGTTTTCGGGATCGGGATCGGGAGACTTCATAGACGTCAATGAGGTTCACTGTCTAGAACATACAGGAATCACTAACTTTAGCATTAAAATGCGATGTTCTTTTTTTGTTACTTTTTTATACTTTTTTATACTATATACTATGAATTTTTCACTTCTATCCAATCTGGCCTCGAGTTTGGCTATAAATAGAAGCTCGTTTTATTATTGTTTTTCAAGCTATTATTCATTACAAAGCTCTTTCGCCATATTGGATCCGCCATCTTGAATATCCCAATTTTAAAGAATAAAGTCATAATTTCCGACCCTTAAAACCTCTGTGAGATATTTGATTAAAGTAAGAAAGTCACCCTATATAGTTGATTTGAATCGTCAAACAGGCCGTCTTTACTAACAGATACAATACAAGAACTTGTTCCCATATTCATCTTCCGATTCCAAGATCTACATTAACAAATAATATATGAACATTTAAAAATATATAATCACTTGCCAGCTGATCTCAAAGATATATATGATGTTAGACAATTCAGAAGGGCTCTGAAAGTATTGCTTCTCACTGAAGCATATTATAATATGAATGAATATTACTGTGTACATGTTTTTGTACTAGCTATTTATTTATTCATTTCTTGATTTTGTTAATGATTATATATTCTTGTGACTCATCTGTATTGACGTTTATAAGAACTTTATGTTGTATTGTAACAATGTATTTCCAATCTTTATATACAAAGTTGTACTATGCTTTGTCCATAAGATTGCATCTTGGACAATGAAGCTCATTTCGATTTGTTGATTTGATTTGATAATCGGGGTTATCCAGCTAGTGAACAAGTTCGAAAAGCTGCAAGCGTCTTCATTTTTCAATATCATACATGATTCTACAGTGTTTGGCATCTAAGATTGTTGGCATACTTATAATTTTTAATGATTTATGAATGAGTCAAGAACTCTATCTATTGTTATTTACTCTAAAGTCAGGCCAGTCGGCAACGAAAATTGTAATACATTACTTGTTACCAACGTATTTTTGTCTGAAGAACACGAGTTTGATAATGAAAATGTCAACAAACCACTATTCATCGAGATATTTCACGGAATGGTTCGACATTTTCACCATGCTTATCCGCCTGTCTTGGGTGCTGTAAAATTTCGGACTTCTTCTTGTAATATCTCGATAAATGAAGTTTAATTCACTATGCCATTATGGAATTCGTGTTTGCAGACAAAGAAGCGTTATCCAGTAATGGATGTCCTGAATGGAGTACTCAAACATCAAAATTTGAAGTCTGGTCTCGTTTTGCTGTTTTGGATAAAATCAAATAGCCTTTGATAGCATTGTATGAAATTTGAAAACAATTTTTCGTCGTCACTCACTTTCAAGTGAAATATAAACAATAATTTTCCCGTAACGATGCCACTGGTAGAGAAAATGAGAATTTTTGTACACCAGAAAATGCACCCTAATGCATAAAAGACGTGAACCAAATTTTATACAGATGTATACAATATTGTCTTAGTTATCATAAAAAAACTGAATATTTTTCAAAACTGCATCACCCTGTATCTCGAAAGTTAAAACGTTCATATGAAGTTTTCTTCTTGAAATGAGTCAGAGAATCACCCCCTCAGATATTAGTATGTCTTTAAGGAACACCCTGTATATCGGAGTGCCCTTTTTTCAGAACAAAGACCGAAGTCATCAACTGAGAACTACAAAAACCTCAAAATGCGATACCATACCTAATGTGTGTTTCAATGAGCGCAAAAAAGGTAATTTTTGCTGAATCTAAACCGGGTTCACGAAATACTAATTGAACAGCAAAACAGCCTGATGATGATTTCATGTTCAGATTTGAAATGTGCTCCACGTTGGAGTGTCAGCTACAGTATTTGGAATATGTTCCTTCAATTGCCGCGTACAACGTACTGTTCTCCTTACACCAGCATCTATACTAATATTCCCAAACTGGTCGACAATTCACTTCTAACATGGGGTGTACTGAGATATACAAAATACATGAGTCGTATTTACACAATACATAAGTCGTATACCTATATTGTATAGTTGCGTTGAATTGGTCACGGTATATCGTCACGTTCAACTTCGCGTTTTCCAATAGTCATTATAGTCATTTTTTCTCGAACCTAACCAGGCAAACCAGGTTAACTTTATGATGACGTCACGGTAACTTCATTAGGACGTCACGGTTTACTTGTGAAGCTTGACAGATGTCAGTTAATCAGCTGTTTTTGTTTATTGTTTGGTTTCAGTAGTAATACTAAATTATTCAATAAGAAAATCATCATATAAGAAAAATATATCATAGATAGGAACTAGTTACTTACCTACATCAAATTCAAGAAAATTGGAACAATTCGCTACGTACATATTTACAATGGATGGAATATTTATTTCCAGTAATATAATGAGATCTCTCATTGAAAAATACTTCGTATGGATCCATAATTATCTCTTCAAGAAGTATAATTATTTTTTCTTATCAATTATAAAACCACAGATTATAACAACATCAAGAGCTCAATCCAGTGCCTAATCAAAAGCCGTCACTACTCCGTGAAATACCCCAGTGAGCTGGTTGGTGTGGTTGGTTAACTATTATGTCAAAGTTTAGAATCACTAATAAACTGCTCAACATTGATAACGTCGTGCTCCAAAGTATAGCCTGAATTCAAAGTAGAATAACTCACGAATTTCCTCACCAATTTCCCAGACAGCACCAGCTATTCCATGAATCTCCCTATCATATTCCTTTTGGAATATTGGAATACTCTAGAAATAATCTGGAATATTCCGGAATATCTGTGGAATATTCTCTAAATATGCGAATGGGAATTCCTCAGATAATCATAGAATATACCCAAAAGAATATTCTATGTTGAATGTTCCTGGAATATTCCAATAAACATATTCTAAAATAAAAAAAAGTGACCCAAGTAGGGATCGAACTCGTGACCTCAAGACTACCAGAGCAACGCCTTGACCACTAGGCCAGTAATCGAATTGAATAATGTTATACATATCAAGTTCTTGTGAGAGCATTGTTCGTAAACGGATCATAAACACTTTTTGTTTCAAAATCCCCTTACATCTAATTGATGTTCGATACTCACATCTCTGAAATAATAAATGGTATTTATGTGTTGAGAAACATAGGAATATTCATGGAATATTTCATGAATATACACCACAGAATATTCAGTTGAGACTATTTCATGAATATACCGCACAGAATATTCAGTTGGGTATATTTCATGAATATACCGCACAGAATATTCAGTTGGGTATATTTCATGAATATACAACAGAGAATATTCAGTTGGGAATATTCCTGGAAGATTCATACCTGAATATTCCCTGAACATGTCCGACTATTCACTTTGGAATATTCCTTTTAGATGTTCCAGAGGCATGTATATATTCTAGGAATAATCGATGAATATTCGGAATATACTCCTCCTTTTTAACATATTTAGAGAATATTCTATGAATATCCAGTGCTGTCTGGGTTGAAAACGGATTTCACCGATGATTAGCCTAATCTCTTGACAGTTTGTTGTGGCAATATGAAACTTCTGTAATTTCAGATATAATTGCTACAGGGTGATGATTGAATGGGTGTAAAATTGCATCGTGGTCGTCACCTTACCGTTTGAACAGATAATTTTTTGATTTTTTTTTCTCACCTGTATCCTCTTGATTAATACTTTCTCTCGAAACGTTTTCGGAATTTTCGAATTCAGAGCTTTGATAATCGTGTTGTGAATATTCATTCGAAATGATGCATTTTTGCGACGATTAATTGAATGAAATTGAAAGTTGGAATTCTTCTCCGAAGAATCAACATTGTATGTATAGTCATCGGATATGTGATCGTGTTCGAACACAGAAAATTCTGAAAAAGTCTATACAAAGTGGTACAAGAAATACTGAATGATGGAGTGGAGAATAACGTAGTCTTCAGTAGATGAAACAGAATTTTCTCTGTGTTACTAGTGGAATAATGGAGTGTTACTTCATCATGAAGATGTCTGGTGTTTGACCTCGAAATGGTTTTGTAGTGAAAGTACGCATTTTTAATCAAAATGATGCATTTTCGTTAAGATAATTTATAAAATTCAAAAAATTACGATTGTAGTTCCAGAAGTATGGAATTCATATTAACTTATTCTTGATGAGGGATATACAAGGTGCGATAAAAAATATGTCCAGATTGTCCTGGGATGAAGAAGAATATGTTTGATCGTGATGAGAATCGCTATGTTCCGAAAAACAAATATAATGTCGGTCATTGTCGAAAATGAATAAATATAGTAACTTTTCATGAGGTTCATACAAGGAAAGTGACTGCAGAATTGCCACAGATTCGATTGAATGTTTTCATACTAATGAAGATAAATACAGTCAGTCCTCATGAGGCTTATATACAGAGACTTCAGAATTGCCATATATTCGTGCATACTTGTTACCATTGCATCTTATACTGATCTAGCACCTACAACATGGTCTTCAGGAGGAACCTTTCCTCATTTTCACTCAGTGTGAAGTTGAATGGAGATAAAATTACTCTTGAATGCTCATTTCTGCATCATCTTATTCACAGGGTGATTCATAAGGAATTTATAATATCTCACCTGATGCTATAGATTTGACGAATTCCGTTGAAAAAAATATAAATTGCATAACTTATACTCACAAATTATTGCTATTATGTTTTCTCATGTCAAAAAAATCCTAATTGCATATTGGATTGACGTTCCTTCTAATATGTGAAGTCTCGTTCATATTACCTCGTATGAGCCTCATGAAAAGTTACTGTATTCATACATTTCACAAATTTCGACAATGACCGACACTATATTTCATTTTCGGAACAGCGATTTTCATCACGTTTAAACATATCCTTCTTCATCCCGGGACAATCTGGACATATTTTTTATCGCACCTTGTATATCCACCGTCAAGAATGAATATGAATTTCATACTTCTGAAACTACAATCGTAATTTTTTTAATTTTATAATTTATCTTGACGAAAATGCATCATTTCGATTAAAGATGCATACTTTCATTATATGACCTTCGATCCAAGAAATTACAAAACCATTTCGAGGTCAGACACCAGACATCCTCATGACGAAGTAATACTCCATTATTCCACTAGTTACACAGAGAAAATTATGTTTCATCTACTGAAGACTACGTTATTCTCCATTCCATCATTCAGTATTTCTTGTATCACTTCGTATAGACTTTTTCAGAATTTTCTGTGTTCGAACACGATCACATATCCGACGACTATACATACAACGTTGATTCTGCAGAGAAGAATTCCAACTTTCAATTTCATTCAATTAATAGTCGCAAAAATGCATCATTTTGAATGAATATTCATAACACGATTATCAAAGCTCTGAATTCGAAAATTCCGAAAACGTTTCGAGAGAAAGCATCAATCAAGAGGATACAAGCGAGAAAAAAAATTGAAAAAATTATCTGTTCAAACGGTAATGTGACGACTGACGACCGCGATGCAATTTTACACCTATTCAATTATCACCCTGTAGCAATGTTATCTGAAATAACAGAAGTTTCATATTGCCACAACAAACTGTCAAGAGCTTTGGCTAATCATCGGCGAAACCCGATTTCAAATTGATGAGGAAATATCAATTATAAAGGCTATATTCTGGAGCACGACGTTATCAATGTTGAGCAGTTTATTTCACTTTATGAAAAATGAAAACTACTAGTTGAGAAAAGGGAAATAATGAAATCAGGAAAACTCACCTCTCCCGTTGTTGCTACGTGCCCGGTTATTCCCAAGTTGATTGGAAATCTCCCTTCAAGTGGACTGAAAATAAAACACAAGAAGAGTTGAAAGTATAGGAAGTGAAACGAAATTCCTCATGTTTTTGAAATTCACGCACTAGGCTCAGAATATTATGATTTGTGGTGTCTAATTTCTGCTTCATGAAGGATTTAGGTTTAAATCTAGAGAATTATAATCTTATACCTACAGAGTGACCCATTTGAAACGGGGCCACCCTCATACATTTTTTACTTATGGGTCGATTTCCACGAATTCTTGTTAATGTAGAGGAAAATGTGTATTTTGGAGCTGAGCGAAGTCCACTTTTTTAAAAAACCAAGGCCTACTAGATCACATTCGGAGGCTGAAAAATCCAAAATCCATAGTAGCGATTTTTTCAGAAAAAAATCCACGTACTCTACTGAGATGAGCGTCCTCAAAAATGGATCTGTACCAAGTTTCATAAAAAAATATTGAACATTAACGATTCTCTAGCATGTCGCATTTCAAACGCCCCTTCCCCTTCTATATCTCTGCTATTAGTCGTTCGAATCGTACCAAATTTGGACCAGTATGAATAATTAGACGAACATCCATTCGGACGGTTACGTGCGTTTTTATTAAAATAAAAAGGAGTAATTTTTTATGAAATTCTATTAGGAATTTTTTACAAGAAATTCAAACTTTTATATGATTCGCCTATGGAGGGTTTGCAAAAAAAATCACATCTGAAAGCATTTTTGCGAACGTGATAATTATTTACTCGGAAACGGTGAGTTCAACAAAAAATAATAATTCTTGTTTTCTCTTTCAGATCACGATTTCCTACCTAGGTACCGGAGCTTTTGAAGGTTTCAAAATTTGCAGTTGATTTTATTTCACTATTTTCCTAATGGTGGCACTGAAAGAAATGAACCCATTCCTGTTACTTTAGAATAATAACATTTATTGATCACAAGAAACATACAATGTTAATAGAGGGAAACAAAAAAAATGAATAAAATAAAATCAAATATGCAATACAACGAAGGATAAACAGTTCAATCAGAATTAATTGATACAAGGAGAGAGTTAAATTGATAAAATATATTTCTTCAGTTCACACTTAAATTTTGTGACGAATCTAATAGATTTTATTCTGTTGGGTAGACTATTATAAATATTTATTACACAACAATACAATGATTCATTCCCGAATTGGGTTTTTATTTTGACAGTTTTCAAATGTTCACTTTGTCTGGTGTGATGGAGTGCTTTTTCTAATTTTTAGTGAAATGAATGAAAATGCATACTTTGATTTTGAAGAGAGAGTCAATATCTAGTAGATCTTTTGGTTTGTATAGTCTAGATGTTGATTCCAGAAATGGTAGTTTATAAATACATTTTATGGCTTTATTTTGAAGAGATTTCAGAGGTTTCAAAACAGATTTTGCTGCAGTACTCCAGATCGATATCAGATACTGCAATTTAGAGTAAATCAAACTGAAATAAATTAATTTCAAGTATTTAAGAGGTATAAAAGACCTCAATTTGTATAATATACCAACAATGGGAGATATTTTTTTTCTGAGCAATTGAATATGCGACGACCAAGATAGAGTCTGGTCTATAGTTAAACCTAAGAGTTTGGAGTTTTTTGTAGGATTTATACAAAAATTCCCGAATTTTAAACGATCTATTTGGTTATCAGGTATAACTCTTTTCGAGATGAACATAAAAGAAGATTTATCAAAATTGAGTGTCAGTTTATGATCTTCTAACCATAATGTTATTGAAGCGAGATCTTGTTCCATTTGGTTTTTTATTTCTTGTTTATTTTTTCCGTAATAAATGAGAGTTGTGTCATCAGCAAATAATTTCAAATTCCCTTGTAATTTCAAATTAGAGATAGAATTTATATAAATTAGAAATAAAATAGGTCCGAGAATTGATCCCTGAGGTACACCACAAGATATGTTTGTTATTGAAGAAAATGAATCTTCCATGTACACAAACTGCTTTCATAAAAATTCACCCCTTTTTATCAAATAATGTTCGTCTTCGAAAAACTGATCATATTGATGGTTATTTATATTAGTTCAAATTTGGTACGAATAGCACGGCTTATGCCTGAGATATAGTGGGCGGCCTTGAAATGAGACGCTGTAGAATCGTTAATATTGAATATTTTTTCATGAAACTTGGTACAGATCAAGGTGGATAAGATATGGTGTAATCACAGACAGTGTTTTGTTTCTCCCAAATCGCTTGACCGCAGATTTCGCAATAATGGCATATTAGTTCTCAATTATTGCTCGCAAGATGGCGAATTTTTTTACAGATTTCTTTCATGACAGAAAACAGAAAACGGCGCTTACACACCGCTTGGACCAGAAATAATAATATTATTACATTCATAAGATAACCTCAAATGAAATGAGATTAAATTTGAAAGTACAAAACTGTGATTTTGGGGAATTTCAATTATCATCAGTTCAACCAACCTTGAATTTTGGTTGAGATCTCGCCATCTAACGGGTAAAATGCGACCTATATTCCGCGATATTGAAAAGAATCCTTTTGTCGAGTAGGTCAAGAACTTTGAACGAAAAACAGTAGATGGGATTTGATAGGAGTTTTTACACCATCTTCTGTTCATTCTGGTACAGATCTATTTCAGAGGACGCCGATTCCAGTGGTGTACGCGGATTTATTCTACAAAATCGCTAATATGGATTCTGTATAATTCAGCATCTTAATGTGATCTAGTAGGCCTTGGTTTAAAAAAAATGGACGCCGCTAAGCTACCATAATACCTTTCTTTTCTGTAAATTTCAAAAAAAAGCTCCAGCATATAAACTTACAGTATATGCTGCATGCCAATAATGGAATTGTATTCATTTGCAAAAATGTATGAATTGATTTTTCATTTATACATAACATACTGTATCTAGAAAACCAAAACTACACTAAAGATCGTCTAAGATTGAAATTGCATTTATTACTTTTTCATTGAGAGTAGTGGTGACGTCATCGCTTCTTAGAAGATGGCGTAATCGACATTTCCAAAAATAATTTCTCAAATCATTTATTCTTACCTCGAGAGTTATGCATTTTTGGAATTGATTGTAAATAGAGAATTCAAAGTAGAAAAAGATATAGGGTGTCGATATAACCTCACGTATACAGTGTTCTGTATGAGTTTGCATTATATGGGAAAAACTGAGCGTTAAGTTTTGCTTCAAACAAGATGAAACGTGACCTACTCGGAATCACGTTACTTTCGCTACATGTCGAGAGTCACATTTTTTTATAATTAATCGCTGAAAACAGGCTGTTGTTTTTATTCTACTTTTACACATGTATCTCGAATTTGAACTGTCTATTGCAACTTTTAGTTCTTCATATATTTTATTTCTTCCAATTGTAACTACCACAAAACTATGGTGAGATACGTAAAGTGCTTTGATGATATTTTTGTACACGCCACTAGGATATTCCAGGCGCTGATTCGTTTTTTTGTTATATGTAATAGCAAAATCACGTTTTACCTTTACCTTCTATATTTCTTTGAAGCCGGTGTTTTTCGATGTGGAACCAAGTGCTAGCGGTTTCGCAGCCTTAGTCTGCCTTTCAACTGCTCACGCTGGAATGTCATTATGCGGAGCATGCGCAACAGGTATCAGGATCAACGTGATTTGTTTTTAACGCGGGAATAATGAATCGAAGAAAGAATGAATGAATACCTTTGATATTTCCATAATACTAGTAACTCAATGATAATTTACAACTAATACTTATGTTATATGAATATCTCTATACTTAAACTAGATGATGATATATGGTGGGAGTAACTTGAATACTAAACAATTTTGATAAATGACTTCGGTATTATTTTAGGAAATATCTATTTAAATAAATTTCGCTCCTGAATGCTAGACTTTGCATCAAACATAACAGAAGTTGAAGCGCAGATTATTATTTTTTGAAGATAATCATATTTTTGTTTATAATTAGTTTATTGAGAATTGCAACATGATGAAGCTGCTGGTATAAAACAGATTTGTCGGTGTTCTTTTTTTTAATATCACCGACATTTCGTAACAATTGAAATAATATCAATAATTGAAAGTTGCAGTAGAACGTTTAAATTCGAAAAATGTGTGCAAAATCGGATTGGAAACTACTTTTCTTGGTAAACTTATTCGAAATTCGAACAAATAAGCCTATTTTCAGCAGTCATTTTGAAAAAATTCTCCCGAGTAAGCCATATTTTTCATCTTTTTCAAAGCAAAATCAACTCTCAAGTCGAATTTCGGAATAAATCATTATCAAAAGTTTTTCCCAAATGATGCCATCTTTATGAAATACATTGTATAGAGGTGGTGATATCATGAACCTACATAAAAGTTGTGATGTCACCGCTACTTCCCATTATCGCGTTTAACATCAAGTATATACCTTTAACGCACAATAAATATATCCAGCAAACATGGTATAATCACCTGGTTCTAGATTCTCCAGATTCAACGATGTTCACGTCGTTTTCTTCGAAATCAAAAACTCTTGAAAAAGTTGCACTTGAATCTTGGTGGGTTAGTAGTATCTGCAAAACAGAGATCATATTATATTCATTTCTGATGACACTGAAATGGTAAGAAAATTTATGGACATAACTATTTAAGTGAATCACGGCCTGGACTAGAGTTTGTTTATTTTAAATGAAACACTTTGTATTTTATGACATAAGCAGCATATGGTAGTGAGTACATTACTAGCCTACATAACACAGCCGAAAAACTCTGAAAGAGAGCTGATGGGCGGTGCCTGAAAAGGATGTTAGCCAGCTCTCTTGAGCGAACCACATCAGTCATTGAAAATATTGTCCACTTTTGTAATGAGAACGTCAACAGATTCCTTTCTGAAACGTCCAAAGCTACGTATACAATTTGATATTTGAACGTTGGTAGAAGTCCATTGAAGCCCAAAGTGCAGTGATAGGGTTCATAGTTAAAGAAAAAAGCACAAAGTTATCTCGACGACTTGGGGGTTGTGACGCCTTAAAAACCCTTTCTTATATCAATACTTTGAAATGTAACATAACCTTTTCATTTCCATATGAGCAGTACTATCCATTTGAAAAAGGTTTTCTGAATTGATAGTAGTCACCACAACCATACAACTAGATAAGCAGATAATTTTTCTGTCAAGGAAAATTAAATCAGATATTGGGAAAAAATCCATCTATCACAATGGAATGATACAATACAATTCACTAACAAATAACTTGAAGCTGATTAAGTGGATTTTGAAATTTAAAAAGGAAAAGAAACATTTACTCTGAAATATTGACATCTTATCTCATTTTTATAGTTTTCTCGTACAACTACTATAGTTTTCCATTGAGTACCTCTAACAGCTGAGTCAATTAAGAATCATTTTCAGTTGAATTTGAAAAAAAAAAAGGTGTCTTCTTGAGTGTTAGTCTTTGTTTCAACAAGTTGTATTTCCTAATATAATTCTGTATATTCCATTTTTCCCATGACTCATTTCAATATATTTTCATAAAATCGTTTTGTTTTCACGATGAGTAACCAAAATGCAATACGTTCGTCCCTCGTAAGGTACTGATCTATTTCTCATTCTTCAAATATATATGGGTCACTTCTGCGACTTCTCTCATCGTCCCAAGGACGAGTTTTTCTTGTCAGCGAGGAGAAAAAGAGATTTTTCGGACAAGAAAGCGAGAACGACGCGGAAGGCATTCATTAAGCTTTTACCGCCGCTTTCGATCGCATATACGCGTATTCAACAAATCAGAAAGACTTTATCCCGTTAACAACGCTGTTTTCTTTTGAAAAACCTATGGTGCATGTTTGTGAGTGTGAATGAACAACAGAACTTAGTTTAAGACGGCTACTCAGAATCCAGTTTCTTAACTACCCGGAGGGCCCTCCCGACCAGAGACGCTAATCTCCCTCAGCAGTCAGCATTCCAGAATAAGCCGGAAAATTCATCGAGCTACAATCCAAGTAAGTCGCATTCGTGACCTATCTGCCATATTATCGTGAAATCCTATTTCATTGTGTCTTATCGTTGGTTACCTATCGATGCCAAAAGTTTTATGAAAAATACAGTACATTTTGAAGCAATCCACATCTATGAGCTTTTGAAAAAGAAACACTGTCTTCTTTATTTTGTGAAATATATTTATATATTCACCATGTCCCTTTCTATAAACACATGTTGTTTCTTGGGAATAATAAAGTTGAGTAATTAATTGATATAACATATATATATAAACAAAGATATTGAAAATAAATTCTCTTCGATTCATTGAGGTATCAAAGTTTTCGATTCCTCAGGTTTGTATCCATATTCTGATTGCATGATTTTGCTAACATAAATAATGAGAGCTACATTTTTACACAGAGTTCTTGGAAATATGCAATTACTTGAAACATTCTCTTCAATTTCACTTTCGTCTGAATTCCCAGCGAGCACAAACATCCCTGGGATGTTTTGGGATGTTTTGAAAATGATGGCATGAAGATGTTATTTTGAGACGTAATATGCACTGACCAAAGAGGTCTTTGAAGGATATTGAAGTTTTGTTTTTGTTCCTCTGTGGCATTTCTTTGTTTGCCTACTAGGAGGTATCCCTGGGATGTTTTGGCATGTTTTAGAAATGTAGGCATGAGGATGTTTTTTTGAGGCGTAATATGCACTACCCAAAGAGGTCTTAGAAGGATATTGAAAGTATTGTTTTTGTTCTTTTGTGCCCTTTCTTTGTTTGCCCACGCTGCTAACGAACAGAAAGGAATTTGGTGAAGTTTATTGTGTAAGAAGACTTATTTAGTTTGTAATAATGACCATCAGATGCAAGATGTGTTGTTCGGTGCCTCATTGTAATCAATATATAAAAGTACGAATTTATCAATACACAGCATCTCCGCAGTTGCAAAATTATGCATTGTGGAGAACATTTCAAAAATTGGGGAACCTATTTCCAATTGTATGTCTGTGTGTAGTAAGCATATCAAGAAAATATTTTCATCAATCTATTTTAAATGCATTTTTTCATTCAAGGGAAATGGAATCCTAATACAAAAGTTCATTTTGACAAAAGGCTTCAGAAAAGTACCTGGAAAATGTTTTTTTTACAGCGATTTAATGTGCGCAAGACTCGTTGAAAATGTTTTGTTGTGTCCATGAAAAGGCTTTAGAAAGAACTAGGGAGAAGGTAGTTTTGTGACATATCAAGGACATCTCGATAATTGCCGCCTGCGGCGGACATTGGCTGTTCTATAATAGTTCTATTCATGTGTGAACAGAACATCGCAGTGGAGGTTCAATGTCTCGAAATCTCGTACTTTTAACATATCTGAGATGTTTTTGTGCTCGCTGGGTTTCCCATACATTTTTAATGAAGAATACAAACAGAAATTGTATGAATAATTCTGATTGCAACAAAATGACAAATGACAGTTGATAGTTCCTACAATTGACAGGCCGGACAGGACTCGGAACGACTGCAGGTGTTGTTTATAGAAGTCTGTTGCCATGGTAATGTGTTTAAGAAATTGTGTTGCCATGGTAACGTGTTTAATTTTTTGAATAAATCACAGATCATCAATCCGTGATAAATCGATCATTTAGCGTGGTACATATCCATACGCTGAATGCCATTTTAGTTATGTGAGTAGACAAAAAAGAATGATCCTCACCTGTACCCTTTGACATTGAATAAGACTCTGCGTGTGCAACAATATCCTGTAAACGACGTGCTCTAATGTAGACTGTTCCTGGAAAATCATCCTGGCCAAATCTAACAACACTTGGTTTCTTCTTATCTCCAACTGCGACTTCTCGTAGAGATGCGCATTCCTCAGACCGATCCCGCAGAATTGCAGGTACTTGGAGAACACTTCTTCGTCTGCCTTTGTGAATGGTTGATCGCCGATTTTGTTTATCACCTAGAACCAATGCCTGCATTGATGATTTATCGTTCAGCACGGAAAAAACACGTAGGGCAAATACGCCCGAGTTGACATTCATTTGGTTATTACTTTATTTGAGATTCACGTGCTAAAATTAGGTAGTTAAATGAGAAAGAACCTAGCCTAACAATAATAAAAATCAATAGGACCCCAACTGTGTTTTCAGGTTGGGTATTTATTTTTTAAATCACTTCGGTATGCCATCTCGGGCTGAATATTCCATGTGAGATACCATTTTTTCCAAGTAGAGTTAGTTGAAGTGAATAAATATAATATAAGAGCCAAATGTCAATAAAATATAAATCAAATAAATCAAATATAATGCTAAACTTATGCAGAAGTTGGATACAATTAAATATTAATACCTAAAACTACAATTAACAACAGAACTTTAAAATGGGAAAACACCTACGGCCGAATAGAACAGTGGTTTAACGCTCGACTAGCAATCAGGACACCGAAAGGTTACTAGGTTCGATCCCCGGCAGAGCAGACACTTTTCATTTATAAAACGAGTTATAAATTCTAATTTTCGTATCGGACGATTCGTTGTTGTATCCCAAAAGTGCTGCTCTTAAGGTGAAGTATGGAGTTAGTAACAAAGCCTACACAGAACAGACATGGACTGAAGGACCTCTCGTAAGGTCGATGGGCAGTTGGTATGTACATACATACATACATACAAAGTACCTATACTTACTGAAAAACACAAATAATATTGCTGAAAGAAAGAAAATTGTGAACAGAATATGGAGTAGGTACCTAAGCTGAATATAAAGTTGACATATAAACTGTTTTGTTTTGAAGGAGCAACCTGAAAAAAATCGCAGTGGACCCATTTATTACGTCAGGGCGAGTTGGCATATGATTGTCAACTAGCCTGATACTTATTTTTTCTACGACTGCTATGAAAAGTAGCGTAATTCTCATGGCTCAATTTCAAAACCACGAATTGCTCATACCTGTGAGAAATATTATTTCTCACAGCACTTTGCCAACACCACGCATAGTAGGTACCTTTTATATGGAGAATCAACTAAAATCGACAAAAACTTAGTTGGCCGCTGTTGTCACGAACAACTGTCAACAGAATTTATTTCAATTTTTGAGGTAGTTATCAATCGTGTTTCGATAAAAAATCGCAATTTCATTGAATATTAGTAAGACATAATATACATATTTGTACCAGTGATAGGTAAATAATATGGAAACTTATGAAAGCAGTGACGATTTTGACAATACTCCACCAGAAATATTGGAACAAGCGGCAAAAGTAACATTAGATTTGTTGCCGGAAATTTCCCGAAAGAAGTATGAATTGGCATATGGGAAATTCATGGAATGGAGAAGAAATACGAAAATAAAATCGTTTTCGGAAAGTGTACTTTTGGTATACTTCGAAGAAATGTCGAAAACTTTGAAGGCGTCAACACTTTGGTCACAATATTCGATGTTGAAAAGTACCATCAGTATTAAACATAACATTGATATATCCACGTATCAAAAATTACGTGCATTTTTGAAAAGAAAGTCTGACAATTACTTCCCAAAGAAATCAAACATATTAACAGCCGACCAATTGCAGAGATTTTTAAAAGAAGCTCCAAACAAGGAATATCTACTAATAAAGGTGGGTTTATTATTTAAATTGAACTATTTTTCGAATTTCTTCCGCTTTTTTCCTCGAATTAACAGCTTTTTATAGTTAGTGGGTGTATTCAGTAGGTAAAAATAATTAGATAATCTTCAAAAAGTCAATTTCATATTGTGGAAGATGAGTATATGCCTATGAATAAATATTTTAATAACTACTCCGTGGTGTAGTGGTAGTGCTTCCGCTTAGGATACTAGCGGCCCGGGGTTCAATACCCGGCCAGGGATGATATATTTTTTTAATTATATAAATGATTTTACATCCTGATATTTTTATTTGTAGGTTGCAGTGGCTATTGGCGTAGCAGGGGCATGTCGTAGAGATGAACTGTGGAAATTAAAAGTCGATGATTTAGAGGATCTAAATTCGGCTTTGTTGGTGAAATTAGATAACACCAAAACAAAGAAGCCAAGAACTTTCACTGTAACGGGGGAATTTTATAATATATATAAAAAATATGCCGCTCTTCGACCGAATGATTTGGCAGAAAAACGTTTCTTCTTGAATTACCAGAACGGAAAATGTACTAGACAAGTAGTCGGCATCAACAAATTTGGTAGTATGGCAAAGAGAATTGCAATTTTTTTAAAATTGGAAAATCCCCATTTATATACAGGACACTGCTTCAGACGTTCTTCGGCAACAATTTTAGTAAATGCAGGAGGTGACATATTAACCTTAAAGCGCCATGGAGGATGGCAATCCAGTACCGTGACAGAAGGATACGTCGGAGACTCTATTAAAAATAAAATGGACGTTGCAAATAAAATCGTCGACTCTATTGAAAAACCAGTAGAACTATTCACTGAAATGGAGACAGAAAATGCACCACTGTACATAAATAATCAACCTTCAACTTCTACTTCTACAATTAATATAACAGAAAATTTACTCAAAAACAATGACTTTCCTGGTTTGACCATACAAAATTGTAAGAATTTCACAATTAACTATAATTTCAAATGAATAATTCAACTGTTAAGAGGTAGGAAACTTGTTATTATGTTATGTTATTTTAGTTCTGCTATAACCCATAAAAAATAAAAATTGAGTTACATTGTTCTTTGAATATGTGCAGTCGTAGAAAAAGTGTAGTGTGCAACATGTGGGGAAAAGTACTTTCCTCACTCGTGTGTTTGCGGCACTCGCCTTTCAGGCTCGTGCCACAAACTTCCACACTCGTGAGAAAAGTTGAACTTTTCCCACTTGTTGCACAATATACTATTTTATAGGTACCCCGTTTGGACGAACTAATCATAATCTCCGACCTCATTAACCCCCAAATACCAACTTTGAATGGAATCGAATCATTTAATCACAAAACTCGTTCACCATATTGTATTCGCCATCTTGAATTCTCCAATTTTGACGAAAGATTTATGATCGCCGACCTCGAAAGCCCCAAATACGAATTTTGAGTAGAATCGGATCATAATTACAAAACGTCTACCAAATTGGATCCGCCATCTTTTCTAATTATAACGAATGAATCATAATCTCCGATCCCGAAATCCCCCAGATACAAATGTTGAATAGATTCCAATCATAATTACAAAACTCGTTCGCCATATTTGGGAGTACTGAATCTCGCCCTACACTTTTGTCAACTTCAATAATAAATATGTTTATAATAAAGTCATTTATTGTTATTATTATTATTATTGTCACAAATGAGGAGATATTTGAAGTCGAATTTAAAAATTCGTATAAAATCATATCGGTTCGAAGTCATTGAACGGTCACGTCTGTGTTTATTATTTCTAAAATTATTAAACCACGAACTTTCGATTAGTAGTTGAACATAAACAGAGGCATGGCATTGACTTCAACGAACCAGGAATATCCACTTGACTTCCTCACTGTCACGTTTCCAAAATATGGATTGGATATATAAAAGGCGCGAGGAAGCCAGCACAGGTATCATTTCGATCATTCGATCATTTTCGACCATTCGATCATTTTAGATCATTTTCGATCATTTCGATCATTCAAGCAGTCAATCATTTGATTCAATCATTTGCCACTGTGCCCGAACCGTCGGAGTTCGGGCAGAACAGAAGATGCCCTTCCTCAGGCTCCCAGAAATACCAGTTAATTTGTATGTACATATAGGGTAAGTTAAGTTTTATTTATTGTTAATCACAAAACCAAGAATAAATGTGTGTATATGTGTTGTTTGAAAACCCTTTTGAGTATTATTTATTATTATCACTTTTGAAGTTCATTCTCTAATGGATCTAGAACACAACAGAGGCAGTTTGTGACATTATTATATTGGATCCTCCATCTTGAATTTACCAATTTCGATGAAAAAATCATTACCTCAGACCTCAAAAACCCCCAGATACCAATTTTGAATGGCATCGGATCATGATTACAAAACTCTTTCGCCATACTGAAACAGCCCTATTGAATTTTAAAATGTTGACGAGAGAGTCATAATCTCTGACCCCAGAAACCCGCAGACAAAAATTTTGAGTAGATTCGGATCATATAATAACAAAACTCGAGCGTCAAATTGGATCCGCCATTTCGAGTTTCCTAATGTTGACGAAAAAATCATAATCTAAGACCACGAAAACCCCTACATACCAATATTGAGTAAAATCGGATCATAATTACAAAACTCGTCCGCCATTTTGAATCCGCCATTTTGTTTTTCGTCTTACAAGAATTTCATGACGCATTGCCACCCGAACTTTGTACACCTGCCAAATTTTGAATTAATGGGTCCGTTTAAAGTGGGTCAAAATTGATTCCAACGTCCAAAGCTAATAAAAAGGTGTTGATAAAAAAGAATTATTTCCAAAAGGAATATGTGTGGTTGATCAACTCTTCAAAGCACACGGCCATACTGTGTTTCATCTCCATATTACTTCGATTTTAACACCATTGATAAGGTCGGGGCTACTATTAAAAGCCAACGTGAGGAAAAATAATCAATCACTGCAATTGTGCGGGTCAGTTTTAAACAGCAGGGAATAAGATTATTAGTTAATTAATGGATACAATTTATTTGAAATGCTCATTAAAAAAACTGAGATTGATTTATTGGTTGAATATGATTAATATTTATGGCGTCGGCGTTTGAGTAATGTTCATCGACTTACTTGAAGTTTTATAAAATTATTCATGACTGAACTCAAACTGAATATAGATATCATGGTTCATAGGTACTGTCAAACATCTATACCGAAACCAGAATTGAAAAACGGTTGTCAAACTGCAACTTTTGGGCAATCGTATATACCAGTCGTCTGCGTATAACCACCATACCTATATCCAGTGTACAGGGTGGGCAAAATTTGGCGTTTTCACCCTCTATCTCAATAACTAGAGCAGTTATCGAAAAACCGATATACATGTTCCGGGTTCGATTTTGGAGAAACCTCGAATGGCACAATCAAAATTTCGATATCTTCATTCGTTTCAGAGATACAGGGGGAAATTGGAAATTTGCCGATTTCGATTTTATTTTCTGACTACTTTACGGTGAGAGGTATCAAAAAATTCCGAACGTATATTTATACATTATGATGCGTGGAATCCATTGGCATCATCAGAAATTTTATACAGGGTGACGTTGAAAAGATACGGCAGCCAATTATGATTTTTCTAATGGAACACCCCGTATATTTTGGCACAGTTGAATAGTCCCAGGCGTTCTCATTACAAATATATATAAATATATAACCCTACCTTTTCCTTCCATAATTTCAGATATATTCGCAAAAATATATTCAGTGTGTCACATTTATTATGGTTACACCCCCGTATCTTCTGTAAAAATAATTGAGGTAGGATTCAAAAATTCGCAACTGTCAGAAAGATACAAGAATAATACACTCATGGAGTCATGGATAAAGTGGGATCATCTCCAATGATAACAACTGCTCGCCTGCAGCTATGGAATCATCGATATTTCTGGATAATGCTATCAACAGGCAGAATCGAGGTTGAAAATGACACTCTGTATATATTCACCAAATGTGGAAAATAAATATCATAGGGAATGGTATTTCCAGATGAATGGATAATTGGTGAGAAATAAAATGGGAAATTATTCGATTTGATATCATTGTTATCAAGACATTTGAGATACAGAAATAAGACCAATAATTTACTCAATTCGGAAATCAGTAGGTTGCCTTGAAAAATATAGCCTTATAGAAGATGTCCAAATTCCAGATACAGAAAAATTTTTTTATGGAACACTCCGTATATTTTGGCAGAGCTGGAAAGTTCCCGTTTCAATTTCAAATATATATCTTATTTATTATCTCTTTGAACGTAAAAATATTAAGGCATACTAGAAATAGTAAAGTAAGTAAAGTAAAGTAAAGTTTATTGAACTACGTTACATATTTGAATGTTTGTAGCAAGTCAAAATTGTACAATAGACAGACAAGACGCTGGTTTATCACACACACACTTTAAAATCATTCTACAAGTCATTAAAACAGTATGACAGGACAACAGCACAAATATATAAAATATTGTAAGGATAGTCATAAACTTAATGATAATAGAGAAATAGAGATGATGCGGACCCTTTCAATATGCCTGCAATGATGAAATAAAAGCTAACACTAGCAAGTCACAGTGAAAGTAACAGAATTGAATAATAAAACTACATGAAGAGTTGATATACGACACGTTACATGAAAAGAAAAAGTGTTCTTCACAGATCATCCGCCGCGAAACTGTAATTGAGAAACTCATCTGCTGAATAAAAGCACTTCTTTAGAAGGAATGATTTGATTTTCATTTTAAACTGGAAGTCGTTGACTTGTCTTATTTTAATCGGAAGTTTGTTGTAGAAATCGAAGTTTAAAGAATTCTTTTGAGATACTGCCAGCCTGTATCTAGTAGTTCTCAGTAAGTTACTTGTCCTTGTTGGGTACGGATGAAAATCTGACTGTAAGGGGAGCTTCAGTCTCTTTTTATGTATTTCAATAAGTGTGTGAAAAATATATGCAGTTGGAAGTGGCATGATTTGAAGCCTGATGAAAAGGGGACGGCAGTGATCACTGTATCCGGCACCTGACATAATCCTCACAACTCTTTTCTGGAGAATGAATATTTTGCTTGCATGACAAGAACTGCCCCACAAAATAAGACCATATGTCATATGGCTATGAAAGAGACCAAAATGGGTAAAGTATCATATTCAGGCATTCTGCCACAAAATATTATGATTGTTAATGTTTCCATCAATTATTCTTACAGAAGATACGGGGGTGTAACCATAGGAAATGTGATACACTGAATATATTTTCGCGAATATATCTGAAATTGTGGAAGGAAAAGGTAGGGTTATATATATATTTGTAATGAGAACGCCTGGGACTATTCAACTGTGCCAAAATATACGGGGTGTTCCATTAGAAAAAACATAATTGGCTGCCGTATTTTCTCAACGTCACCCTGTATAAAATTTCTGATGATGCCAATGGATTCCACGCATCATACTGTATAAATATACGTTTGAAATTTTTCGATACCTCTCACCGTAAAGTAGTCAGAAAATAAAATCGAAATCGGCAAATTTTCAATTTCCCCCTGTATCTCTAAAACGAATGAAGATATCGAAATTTTGATTGTACCATTCGAGGTTTCTCCAAAATCGAACCCGGAACATGTATATCGGTTTTTCGATAACTCCTCTAGTTATTGAGATAGACGGTGAAAACGCCCAATTTTGCCCACCCTGTACAGTGGTAGATAAACAAAAATTCAAGGAATTATTGATTGTGATGAATTTTTCGGGATGAAATGGATTTTTTTAAAATGATGTCTAAGGTGCTATACAGGGTGCCCGTGTTTCGACCTTCACCATGGGGATCTCAGTTATTATAAGAGATACGAGGTCGGTTAAATTAGGGCAAAGTTGCGCATTTTCATGCTGAACATTTATTTGCAAGAAAATTTGATGTGTCATTTTTAGTTTTTGAATTATTGGAAGAAAACGAAAATTCATAATTTTCGTTTTAATTTTTTCAAGCGGAAACCAATAGACCTAGACGTTTTTCACAGGTACCTTCTTGAGGCACTTTTTTACAAGGAATCTGAATATGTCATTGTATTTTTCATGACGTTCTTGATGCCAAAGTTACAACACAAAACTTTGTATTTTCTCATGGGCGCCATATTGGATTTTTACATTTTTGAAGTCCTTTTTATTTCTGATTATAATGAAGTTTCACACGATATCGAATTTTTCCTGTTTATCAAAATCTAATCGCAGATTCGTGATAGAGTCTCAATTCAGAATTTTTTTCCACGCCCTGTATGATGAATGTCAATATATCATACACCCAAAAGCAAGTGATTATCAATTCTACACGTGAAATATGTGCTTGATATATGGTGAATTCTGCCATGAAAAATATTTACTTGACAAACAAATAAATAGGAAATGGTAAAAAACTAATACATATGTAAATGCATACTTACTTGTGCTACGCCGATGACGTCACCATTGGTATCTTTGATAGGCATGCAAAGTAAAGATTTCGTTCTGTAACCAGTCCTGCTGTCTACTTCGTGATTGAATCTATCATCCTGAAACAAATAGACAACAAAAAGAACAGTCATTGAATGGCTTGACAGGTGCCTTCATGTATTTCAGAATGTTCAGAAAATCTATGTGTGACCTTTTCTCTAAGTTTGATGAGAAGTACGGATCGTCACAACCAAAGTAAGTTGAAATAATGTGATTTGGAAAAAAATATATGAAAAAATCTCGAACATACTCCGCCAAGTTTTCATAATTATGTTTGTTCATATAAAGATCACACATTAAGTACAGGGTAAGACCATATAAGGTCCATAACTATACATGATTGATGAGTTTACAGGGAGCACGAGAAAAAAATCAAGAAAGTTTTGGGCATTTTTATTAAATGGAGCGCTATTGATTGATTGATTGATTGATTGATTGTTTCTATTATCCCAAGAATCATATCTATTTATAATAGGGATACACGAACACATATAAAAAATATTAATAATATTGAAAGGTTGATATTTTGAATTTATTCCTGACAAAATGAATAAAACAACATATTTTGGGTTTATATAACGAAATCAGATTTAAAAATTTTCTATACTTTGATCTAGACTTTGATCATATCCAAGTGACAATTCTTTTTGTAGAAATGTCATCTGCAGATGCTTACCTGAAAAACTATATATCGTCGAAATCATGATATTTGAGAGATAATCATGAGAATTTTCATTAAATCATTATTAAATTGTACAAGGTGGCTAGAAATGATTTGTCAATTTATAAGTAATTTTTTTCTTTCTTTCAATGGACACTCAATTCATTTTTGTTCATGTGATATAAAATTGAAACGAGAATATCTCTTGTCACATCCATATTGATATTGGTGACCATTTTTACTTGACCATTACCAAACCTGACCATTTTAATTGATACATTTCATATTCAGGTCTATTCTGTTTGCACATAACAATATGTTGAGAATATATCACCAGATTCCAGAAAGTGGAATTCTGATGATCGATTTGGGTAATGATCTGTCAATTTCGATGACATCTTGTTAGTTTTTATTGTTATCTCAGCTTCATCAATTTTGTGCTTGCTATTTATCTCCTTACAAGGTGTAAAAAAATGGCAGTGAATCTTTTCATTCATTCATTTTACCATTTAACCAGATTTTTTGTGATTTTCTCTCCTCGTTTCTATAGAATACAAATATAATTAATTTCAATAAACGAGGAGAGACAATCCCAAAAACATCTGGGAGAATGAATATTCCACCTCCTCGATTAACCTACAGACAGTAGTGAATCCTCTGTTTGTTATGCTACAATTTCTTTCAAGTGTTGAAGAATGTATCGGTTCATTTAGAAAATAGGTGATTATAAACATATAGGTTATTTCAGATTCAACTGTACAGACGATACCTGTTGATAGTGGACATTTTGATGGTTCCAAATCACTACCTATTGACTATCAATGTAGGTAGACGCTATAGACACATCAATGGGGAATGATTCGGAACCATCAAATTGTTATCTTTTCACAGGTATCATATATGTACATTCAAATCTGAAACACCCTGTATGAGTAGTTAACTTGTACGTGTAACTAACTATTTCAAAACTTTAGTTAGGAAGTTTCAATTTGTACAGGAATTGATTGAGACTACAATTTCGGCATATCAAAGACATCAGAAATCAATTTGAGTTGCCGGCTGAAGAGTTTATTGAGCTATCACTTGAATGAGCCAGAAACGTGAGTTCGTATGGTTATAAAAATCTGTTTTGTTTTTTTTTTAATTCACAATCAATTCCTTTTGACGTTTATTGTTTTCTTATTTCGAGACATGATTGATTACTTGCACCTCTTGCACAACCACAACCAAGTTCCTCAAATACAAACAATTTGTCAATATGAAAACGTATCTCACACTATCCTTGCTTACGCTTAACAAACAAATTGAAAACAGTGTTGCCAGGAAAACAATGACATTTTGTGACAATATTACTCGAACTTCAAACCAATCTTGCAGTCACTGTCCAAACAGAATACTAAAACGCATGGCAATATTGTTTTATAGGTTATAATAATGAAAATATTGGTAATTAGCAATGGTTAGAGTCAAATCGTTATGGGTGATCCCTGATTGACTAGCGATTAGTTTTTAACATTAAATCAGTAGGTATCATTTGTATTACTATCATTATTTCATTGATACCTAAACCATCCTCTTTAGTATAATATTCGAATATATCCAGAGATATCAGTCAGTTGTTATACCGGGTGACACAGGTGATATGTAACAGCCTGTAACTTTTTCAATTGAAGAGATACAAATTTGAAATTCACAAGGGTTATATTATCGATGATGGCGCTTCCCTTGAACCCGATGGCGATTTTCTTCAACCAACTGTTTGATCGGAACTTTTTTTTTCAGATGGCACACTGTACACTGTATATTTCTGTGGCCTATCCTATTTGCCTTGAAATCCTCTATTCAACTATGTATCACAATTTGAAGTTCGTTCATTAATTGGCTGTTAAATTGCATTTCATTTAAATACATGAAGTAGGCTGTGGCCCAAATGCAATGACATTTCGATAATTGATAGGCTTAGAAATCCAAAGATTATTACTTTGACATCTCTGCTTAGACGATATAATCAGAATATTTTCCATACCCTAATCGGTCCCAGAAGATTGCCAATAATTCCATTGAGTTTAAAAAAATCATCCGAAAATAACTCACTATAATGAGGAAACTAAGATAGAAACTCAGCTTTTTTCATTCGGCTACTTGTGAAGAAACTATTTGTTTTTCATTCTTGCTATGTAGCCATGATAAGTTCATCCATTTCATGTATCCGAATCTGAAATTGTTGAAATAATTGATGTATCGTTCTAATATCGTGAGTTATTTTCGGATGATTTGTTCAAACTCAATGGAATTATTGGCAATCTTCTGGAACCGATTAGGGTATGGAAAATATTCTGATAACATCGTCTAAGTGATGATCTTTGGATTTACAAGCCTATCAAGCATCGAAATGTCATTGTATTCGGGCCACAGCCAACTTAATGTATTTCAATAAAATGCAATTTAACAGTCAATTAATGAACGAATATCTAATTGTGATACATATTCAAATATAGGATTCCAAGGCGAATAAGATAGAACTACAGAAATAAACGGGGTGCCATTTGACAAAAAAAGTTTGGAATACTTCCAATCAAACAGGTAATTGAAAAAAATGTTCATTGGTTTCAAAGAAAGCGCCATCATCGATAATATAACCCTTGTGAATCTCAAATTCGTATCTCTTCAACTTAAAAAACTACAGGCTATTACATGTCTCCTGTGTCACCTGGTATAATGAATGTAACCGTTGAAGAATGTGAATCAGATATAACAGAGGTGGTACAGTTGAATTCATAACCTATTTGAGTGTGGACCAATCAATAGATTCTATAAAAATTCTTCGTGTTTGAATAGTCATCCTAACATAATGTTATGTTATAACAAGGTCTGAACAGCATCGACCCGATTGTTATCTGTTATAAAAACACCGAGAGTCCAATTATAAGGCGATTGTGGATAAAATGATATTTACCTGGTAGGCATCAGGGATATTGACAGCTTCTCCGCTTTCAGCGACGTACCCAACTATTCCGGTGCCCAAAGGGATTTTGATTTCTTCTTTTTTCTCCATCTCCATGAGGGTGCTCTTGGAACAGACATCGAAAAGTTTCGAGACCAGACACCTGAGAGAAAACGAATTCGATGGATCCATCAACAGTGGAAATATATACTTGGTGAGTCAAAAATGTGTAGGTACCGAGCTTCCTGGAAATGATAGTACATTGAAAAATAAGTATAGTTTGATGGATAAACTTATGGTTCAAAATGTATATTGAGGGAGATGTAATCTTTCAAAGTTAATTGAATTGAATCAGATATTAGTGAAAAATCCATCTATCACAATGGAATGATACAATACGATAAACTACCAAGTTGAAGCTAATTAATAGGATTGAGAAATTTGAATGGGAATTCAAGAAACATCTACTCCTGAAATATTGATATCTCATTTTTATAGTTTTCTCGAACAACTACTCTATAGTTTTCCATTGGGTACCTAACAGCTGAGTCAATTACCATGTACCCTGCTATAAAGAAATGTTGTGTCTTGGGAATATTAAAGTTGATTCATTAATATTATGTGAAAAAAAAGATGAAATTAAAATGATATTTCCGCATAACTTTTAAACGGTATCAGCACAAGATTGGAATTTCTTGCAAACATTCATGTTGATCAAATACTTGTTTCTGATAGACTTCTATATTTCAATTATTGTTATGAAGGGTGATTTTATAGAGGGTGGGCCATGATTTTCTGGAGATAACTCTTTTTCCTTGTATTCTTTTTGGGAAAGAACATTTGAGAGCCGAAAAAACGGAATTCCATTCAAAATACAAAAAATATAACCGTTTTCGAGATATTTGAGTTTTTGTAGTGACATGATATAGGCAGATGAATTCATCACTAACAATTTTTTGAAGGCCTCGCACTTCTTGGCCGGCAACCGTCTCTATTATTCGTTTTGAAAAAATGTTTTTCACGGAATATCTTTCCTACACAATCCTCAAAACTGTTTTAAAATTTTAATCGCGTCGAGCGGGAAGCATCTCTGCATTAAGAATAACCTGTTATTTCTCAAAACCTCATCTGAAAATCGCAGTTATGGTATTACCGAGCAAAAAAAAAACAAATAAAATTTGTTACCGGCGTTGAATCAATCTGCTGATATCATGTGACTAAATAACCTCATACATCTCGAGAACGGTTCAATTTTTCGTATTTTGATAGGTGTACCTCAATCTTCATGCTATTTTCTGTGCTTCATCAAATTCTCTCATTTTCTTCACCAAGAGACATACAAGGAGAGGAGTTGTATTTTAACAACATACAGTTATGCAGATAATTTCAATCTGGTGGTTTTTACCGTTTAGAAATTATAGTTATGCGAGAGAACTTTTCGAATTTTATCAACTTTTGGAAGGATATCTCTCTATATATTCATTTTGAGTCTTTATTTATCAAAGTATACTCATTCTTTAACGTACTATCACCCCCAGAATCCTCGGTACACATTTTTGACTCACCCTGTTATAACAGGTATAAAATATTAGATATAAATATATCCCAAGAAAGTACACTTTTTCCTAAGATCTATCAGTAGAAAAAATCTCAATTTTCCACATCCTATACCTCTGTTATCATTTCAACTCGACCCCCAAGTGTGATAGATCTATGAAATCCGCTTTTCTGGGATAATCTAAAAATGCAATAAAATACAGGCTGTCCTATTTGAAAATTTATGAATGTTGCTCATAAGTATTCTTCGGGATGATCAATTGTCAACTTCAGTATTACTTGAATGTAACAACCTTGATTCCTATAATATTGAAGATTTGTCAACCTCTCAAACTTCTGCATGAGCCAGACTATTTTTCAGTATAGCCAACATTTTTTCAAAACAACATGTATGTACAGACAAGGGAAATTGTTTATCAACTTTCCTAACTGAACTGTTCATGAATCGGTTTGATGCAAGCGCAAAAGAAAAATTCGAGTTTTCCCATTGAATGTAGATAAGATATGTCGACGATATTTTTGCTATTCATGATACAAAAACTACGAATATGGATAACTCCATTTCTGAATTGAACGATTGCTTCCCCTCAATAAAATTCAGTATTTTTTAATTGGTAGGTTGTGCAAAATATTTATCGACAGAAGAATTAGAGATTTCTCATCTGTGAAAGTTCAAAATATTGCTCATGTTCGGTGTAATAACAAAGAATTTGTTTTTCTACTCACATTACTAAAATAGCATTTAGGTACGTATATTATGTATCATGCTAAATGATCTATTAATCACGGATTGACGATCTGTGATTTATTCGAAAGATTAAACACGTTACCATGGCAACATACTTTGAGTCCTGTCCGGCCTGTTTATTGGAGCAACTGTCAAATGTCATTTTCGATCTTGCAATTTGCAATCGGTGACAATCAGAATGAGATTTATTCAAACAATTTCTGATTGTATCATAACTCTGTGTAAAAATGATACTCTCAACCTCAAAATCGAGGTTTTTTAGATTTTTTTGTGAGGAAACTATTCAGTATTGATCAGTTTTCCTCAACTTCTCATTCACTATCTACTGACATTCAATTGAAACGACTACGGGGTGGTTCAAGATTCAGAATTCTGATCACCCTGTATCTGTTCCAATCAAATGTCAGTAGATGGTAAATCAGAAGTAAAGAACGAGACATGTGAGCTGATTTCATCAATAATGTATAGTTTCGACACAAAAAAATCCTAAATTCAAAAAATCTTGGTTTTGGACACCTCATCTCTCAGTAATCATTCCTGCTACATACAGGTTGATCCATTCGAACGAATGAAGCTGCTAGGACATTTTGATGGAAGATCGATGGAAACAGGTGATAAAATGTAAGACGCGATTAATCCTTTGTTGCGTTCTACATAAACGAAACGTCTAACCTCGCGTCTAACCTACCATCGACCATGAGTAACCTTATATAGATCGCGTTAACACTAAAAAAAATGGAAGTATCTCTTCAAGGAGAATCTAGAATTTTGATAATATACAGGGTAATCCATTTGAAAAAATTATGCTGCTAGGACTTTTTCGTCTGACCTACCATCGACCATGAGTCAACCTCTATTGATCGCGTTAACCTAAAGATATACCCTGTATATTCGTTAACTGTTGTGGTCCGTTGGGACGAAATGTCTATGCTACGGAAACATTACCTACTGGTCACGTTGGCCATGGCTGACGTCAGAAGACACCTGGCATGTTAGCCGTTTTGACCAATGATGAATAGTTTCAACACAAAAAAATCCGAAAAATCTCGATTTTGAACACCCTATATCTCTGTAATTATTCCTGCAAGACCCCAAGTGTGTTATATTGATGAAATAACCTCTTCAGGGACAATCTAAAATTGCAATTATATACAGGATGATTCATTGAGAATATGAAGTTGCTAGGACATTTTGATAGAAGTGCCAACAGGTGATAAAATGTAAGATGCGAAATTTTCAGAATAATCCTGGAATTCATTGCCTGAGGAAGTATTCCCGAGGGGTAAATCTCCAGGAAAAATGTGTACACCAGACTTCCAATTACCAAAGACTTCCAAAGACTTCCAAAGACTCCCAAAGACTCCCAAAGACTTCCAAAGACTCCCAAAGACTTCTAAAGACTTCCAAAGACATCCAAAGACTTCCAAAGACATCCAAAGACTTCCAAAGACATCCAAAAACATCCAAAGACTTCCAAAGAATTCCAAAGACTTCCAACGGAGTGTACACCAGACTTCCAAGGAGATTTACCCCTCGAGTATTCCCAACAACATATAATCTCCGGAAGTTCAAAACAAATTCCAATACCTACCTCCTATCCCTATCCTCCCTAGGAACGCACGATGTGTTTTGAACATTATAGGGATTCCCTTTCGTGCGCTCCAAGCGATAAAAAAAGTTGCGTTCTACATAAACGAAACGTCTAACCTACCATCGACCATGAGTCACCCAATATTGATCGCATTAAACCTAAAGATAAACCCTGTACAATGGGCTTATATCACAAAAAAATTTTATTTTATAATTCGATAGAACTAACCCAAACTAGCTCACCACCGCAAACCGTTTCTTGCTGTGAGCTCCCTACGTTTTATAAAAAATTATTGAAATCCCCTATTTTTCGGACCTCTGAAAACGAGGCAATGATGTGACGTCAAAACCCTAATACTGAAACAAGATTATTCCAGACAGAGATGAATGATACATGATTTCTGACAGAGTGAATTAGCGCGAGATCACAGTTTGAAGAATTAATATATCAGTTGCCTCAGTCTCCATCGGGCGTTTAGTATTTTCTTTTAACTATGGCGAGATGGGGTTTTTACGTCATCAGAGGGTCCGTTTTCCAAAGGTACTATTATTTATGTCCAAAAATAAAACATTCCAGTTAATTTTTCGATCAAATTATGTCGTCAATCATTATTTATGTATAAAAGGATCATTATAAACATGGTTTGAGTTGAAAGTTCTACTAAAGTGTACACGCCCATTGAATGAACTGTTGCGGCTCTTTAAGACAAAATGTCTGTGCTACGGAAACATTACTTACCGGTCACGTTGGCCATGGCTGACGTCAGAAGACACCGGGCAGCCGCCGCTCTTTTCTCCCTGGACGAGAAAGAGGGAGCCTCTGTCTGCGTTCAGCAGGACACACACGTTCTGCAGTATCTTGTGACACAGCGAACGGACATCGAGTTCATTGCAAATGTCCTTCACCTGGAATCGATAGAAAAGAAATGAGCCTGAGGACAAGAACTAATGGGGTTTGTGGGAGATTCAATTTACTTCCATTTTAAATGGAGGGATTTTACGAATAATCCACGTTTTCGAGTTTACAGCTACAAAATTTGAAAACAATGAATTGTTCACCTATTTTTGTTTTTTTTTTCAATATCGTCATGACATTTTATTAGACTCAGATTCAGCACCATAAAAACATGTTGACTGAGAGGAATTGAATGTACCTCATAACTTTGGCCAGTATAATTATGACCAGTGCAGCTTGGCCATAGCCAGCAATCAGCCGTTCTATTATATCTCTCAAATCGAATAGAATAATTAATATGATGTATTATGATATAACAATATTACTCACCAATATGTTCAGTATTGAAATAAAAATTGAAGTGTATAGGAGAAGTATATTTATATGAAATATCATCTTGATGAGCTTGAAACTTCCAAAATAATCATTTGAGAGATAATGGCAATTCTCAGTTTCAGAGGTTTTTGATTTTTCATGTTGTCTTTTTGGATATTCAACAGATATCATTCAATGTTCGACGTGGCAAATAGTCAGGAAAGTAGTTGTTTTTTTCAATATCTAGAATGGGGTGGCGGAAATTTGATAGAAAGACAAATGATAGAAAAACATTTGATAGAAGTCTTTTGATCGAAAGTGTTTTTGATAGAAATGCATTTGATCGAATGTTTTATGGCATAAAATACATTTGATAGAAACATAAATGATAGAAAATACAATTAATAGGAACAATATTTGATAGAAAATACACTTGATAGAAACAGCATTTGATAAAAAAATCAACGGGGCTACGCTCAAGTTAGGTCAGTACGTTTGTGAAGATATGATCCTTCTTCATATATTTGAGAAAAAGAAGCTAGATGGAAATCGAAGCTTATATGAATTTTTTGATACCACAAACTTCTAGCTTCTTCTTCTCAAATATATGAGGAAGGATCATGTCTTCACAAACGAACTGACCTAACTTGCGTGTAGCCCCGTTGAATTTTCTATCAAATATTTTTTCAATCAATTGTATTTTCTATCATTTATGTTTCTATCAAATGTATTTTCTATCATAAAACATTCGATCAAATGTATTTTCGGTGAAAAGTTCTTTCTATTTTTTTATTTTCGATCGAAAGACTTCTATCAAATGTTTATCTATCATTTGTCTTTCGATCAAATTTCCGCCATATCTTTATATCAAGGATATTACAAACTCTCTACTTCAGAAGATTTTGTTTTCCAAATTCGTATCGTGTGTGTTCAATAGATCTAATTTAATGTTCGTCGTGGCATATAGCCAGAAAAGTAGTCGTTTTCTGTTGGATAAACCGAGAAAGAATTAATATTTTCATCACATGGAGAATGCGAATTCTCAATGTATTTCTTTATTATATATACAGGGTGTCTCATAAGTAATGGAACAAAAGAAGTGGGGTGGTAGGGGGGGTCATTTGTCATCTAACTAATGGTATATGTTGTTATCAAATTGTAGATGATTCAAAAGTTATTCCACCTTTCTGAAAAATTCGATCTATAAAAAAACTAATAACAAAAAGGCTGTTTCGAATAACCCCACATGTTATACCATTTCGGAATCTATATTAAATGGGCGAATTTCTTCTTCGTGCGGTAGTTTTTAAATCTGCCAGCGGCATTTAAAAATCGACTAAAATATTACATTCGATGACAAAACCCAAGGAAAACAACATTATTCTCAGGTAATTGATGAGAAGAAATACATGTCATAAAATTATTCCTGGTGAAAGGTGCATCATCCATGTGGATGAAATTTGTAAAAGAAAAAATCACGAATGTGATATGATTTTATTGTAATTGAATCTTAAAAAAAAAATGAAAAAACATTATTAACTTCTGAACCATCAACAATTGGATGACCACATATACGGTTAGTTTGATTTGAAATGACCCCTCCCTACTACCCAACTTCTCTTGATCCTCGACTTATGGGCAAAAGGCAAAACGATCAAGGTAGGATAATTATGTAGAAACTTCGTACTCTCATGTGGTTTTGATCTTCACACTTTTACCATGTTGAAAAATATTATTCTTCATTGCAGACTCTTCTCATGATTTATTGTTTGTTTCAGGTATACTCCAAAATACCAATATATTCCCGTTGCGTCCATAAAGGTAAACCATTTCAACGATATCAGTTGTTGAGGGGGGACAACTGAGAAGCTGCTTAAATGATATCCACGTCTTCAAATATCTAGGACATTAACACCTTTACAGCTCTCTAGTCTCAACTCTACTGGTCATCCTAACTATTCCCTGTCACCCTCTCTTATCTACCTTATGTAACTCCTTAATCATGCATTCAATATCTCTCAGTCATAAAACCAGCACCCGTCGATATTCTAAACATAATACGGGGTGATGGTATTGAATCACACAACATATATATAATAATAATGATAATATGATACTAGTGATTAATGTAATTTGGTGGGTATCTCTGGAGTGTTTCTAACACAGTGCACATCTCAGCTTTCTATGAAAGACGTTAAGGAGTTTCATCAGGCTTTTTATAAAAACAAGGAAAAAACTAAACAAGACATGTTCATATTACGACACTGTGATACAAAAATACAGAAAAGGCGTCGACAGTGAAAGGCAAAGCGTTCTATAGAAATTCCTTATTGGTATTGGTATTGGTAGGTTGGATGGTGACAGATGCGCTGCGACCCAATTGGATCTATTGTGCCCCATCTGCTCCTGCTATATCAAGGATTTCTTGTTCATAGCAGCCCCTCGAAATTCAATTCCTTCAGGAATTTGAGGATTTTGAGGGGGTCTAGCTGTGGTATTTCTTCCACAGTCAGCTGGTGTGTTCCCAGTATGTTCAATCTTTTGTGATGTACAGCGTCACACTCCATCAGTATGTGATGGGGTGTTTCTGGTTCTTCCTCACAGAATCTGCAGGTGCCGTCCTCCTGTAAGCCTAGCTTCCTTAGGTGTTCTTTGAGTCTGCAATGCCCCGTTAGAAATTCCGTTATTGCTTTGAGACTCCCATTGCTGAGGTTTGTCAGTGTCTTAGATCTTTCTCGGTTTAAATTTCCAAGGATATCTTTAGCCTGCCGTAGTTCTGGAAGTCTTCTCCATTGTCTGGCTCTCCAGGCTCCTTCCGCCTTCTCAAGTTCTCCTTGGAAATAGGAATTTCCAAGGCCGCAGAATGGCTCTGGTCCGATCAGTGGCGTTGAAGCCCCTTGTCGTGCCAGAGCGTCTGCTTGTTCATTCCCCTCCACTCCGATATGCCCTGGCACCCACAGGAGGGTAACTATATTGTTGCTGCCTAGCTCATCCAATTTGCTTAGGCATTCCCATACCATCTTCGAGTTGATGTAAGGAGAGCTCAACGCTTTGATGGTTGCTTGTCTATCGGATAAAATCGCTATGTCCTTAAGACAACCCAAGAGTTTATGCAAAAGAGGAAAAAAAATCTCTTTGATTTGCCCTAAACAATTAGATATCGGAGTACCTATCAAAAAAGGCAAGAAAGATAGCATCATGAAGCTTTAAGCAGCACATTTTGGAAAAGAGTGGGAAGAAGAAGAGATGCTCGTGTTTTTCAAGGAAGTCTTTCAGAACAACTTAGAAGCAGAACCGAATCCAGATGAGGAAAACCAGTGTGAAGAAGGAAACATAAACTTCGCAATTTAAGGTTATACTGTTTCTAATGTTTGTTAACAAATAAAACCAGATTTTACAATAATCTCGTTTTTTTATTTACTAATTATTCTAATTTTTGGTGCGAAACCAGACATGTCAATTGAGCCATTGGGGTTTTTGAGATTTGTAGAAATGGGAGATTTCCGAAAATATGTATTATATTTTCTGTCATTTGTTGATGTCCCATCGTCAAAAAAAAAGAATTCGTTAATAACAATAATATAGATATTACACATTTTTCTGCATTTTCTCATTTTCTGTTCGAGTGGACTTTGCATCTAGGCGACTGATATATATCCATGTTTTTGGGTCCATGAATATATCTGAGAATATTCCTTTCCAATACAATTCAGTACAAACTCACCAGCTCGAAAATGAGGTCCTTCTCGTCCATCTGCCTGAGCTCGTGCCTGGACCTCCGATGCCTGCGGGCGGGCGTCGGACTGCCCACAGGCCCGCCCTGCGCCTGCGCATCGCTGGTCAGGAAGGTCGGCTGCCCGTCCACCGTGTTGATCATCGGCTTGAGCAGCCCGCCGCGCTCGAACTCGTGCGCAGATATCTTGCGCACTGGCGTCGTGGCACCAGAAGAACTTCCGGTGAAGGTAGGAGAGGAGAGTTGCTCGACGCTTGAGGATGAAGGTGTGGCATGGGACATTTGCCATTGTTCGACTACGTGGCGGGTCGCCTTTCTGGAATTGGAATATGTTTTATATGTAGGAGAGTATCGTATCCAGGAGCTACGTACGTATACGCCCTGTATAGTGCTTCTAGATTAATGAGTGTCGATCTATTGATGACACACACGGGGTTATGTGAAGGTGACGGGTATTTTGGGCAGGATTTATCGATGCATGAGTAATATTAAGTAGTTGAGAAGTAGCCGTGATACGGCTAGGTTGTATCTGATACCTATTGTGAATATAGTGGAAATCGTGGAGTGTAACCGTCCACCAAGCTTACATATATGTATCAGTGTCATCCATGAAGTATATTATGAGGTATATTGGTGCCGTTGATATTTGTATTGTTTGTAAACGATATACCTTAAAAGTGAAGTGACACTTTTATTCGCCGAAAACAATTGATCAGTGATCACGAGTCACAATCAGGGCTGACATTATTTCTTGTCCACCACATCGCGCGAGTTATATTCCATATTCCCAGGGAACCCATGGGAAATAGGCTACATCATCGATTCCGCAACTCAGCACTTCGAGGCGTTCTCACCAGAGGCGAGACAGATTCCAGGAATTGAATCAGCAACTTTTATTTCACATTTTTATAATTCATTTCTCACGTAGCTCAGTCTTGGCTGAATATTTGTACTGTTCACATCAAATCAACTTGTGTATATCTTTGTATCGAAAATAAATGTTTTTTTAAAAAACCAAACTCTAGACGAGTTATAAAAGTGGCGCAGTCGGTAGGATTGTTACAAAGAATCCATCGCGGATACCTTTTCTATTTTCTAATAGTTGAGTAACAATCGAAAAAAGTTCCTACGTGTCCGTTCGTTCGATCGCCGAAAAGTGGATACCAAAGAACAATATAGTTACTAAGAATAACAAGGATAAAGAAGCAGACGCAACCAGGACAACTTGGCAGCCCAGAAGTTCGATGAAGACGATACTCTTGCTGTAAGTCGTTTTTTGATTCATGCCAGACTCCTCTAGTGATTCTCCTTTCCCAAGTGGTAGTAAAGATCTCCTAGAGTTAGAAATAAGTTCACTTGCGAATACGCTCAATAATATAACTTTGGAAACTGACAATCCAATCATAGAAAATAGTGCTTCAACAATTATTATGTCGATTCCAAATTTTTCAAAGGTTCACGCCGAAACCATACCCGAGTTCAACGGAGACGTGAACGAATTGAATTTTTTTCTCGAAAGTATCGACAGTATTTATACCCACTTCTTTGATGTGGCAAATATAGCTAACTATCAAAATGTGATAATTTTTCGCACCATTATCAGTAAACTGAAAGGGCCGGCTCGTGAGGTCGTTAATATTAGCTGCGTAAAAACTATTCCTGATATCAGAAATGTTTTAATCACAAATTTCAGCGACCACAGAAATGAGACTTGTTTGTCCTTAGATTTAAATAACTTGAGACAAGGTGCCAATGAATCCCCGTACCAATTTCATGATAGAGTTAGGAAAGTTTTAAACACAATTTCGAATTATTTGGCGATTCACGAAACAGTTCAAGATGTACGCAATTTTAAACAAAAAATGTATAACCAGCAGGGTCTCGAAGTATTTCTAGCAGGCTTGAAAAATCCTTATGGTATAATGGTTCGTACCAAAGAACCGAAAACAATGTTAGAGGCAATAAATTTTATCAGAAAAGAAGATAATATTAGATATCTACAAAATTCGATTCCACACTCAAATCAAAACGCAAATCCAGCCCAAACCCGAAGAAATCCTGGCAGACAAAACCCTGGCTATCCCAATCAATATTTTACCCAACCAAATCAATATCAGGTACAGAGACCAAATTTCAACCAAAATTTTAGTCAAAACGTCTACCAACAAAGACATCAAAACCCGAATTTTGTTCCACAAACATTCCAAAATCAACCAAGAACATCTTTCCCAACAGGCCCTGTAAATATTCAACCACAACCTAATAATTCCCAGAAATTTTTCACGAACCATCAAGTCTTTGGACCCCAAAGAAATGTTTGGAAACCAAACCCAAACTCCCAAAATTCCAACCAACCAAAACCAACACCCATGAGTACCACCACCAGACAGTACACTACAAACACTAGACCGCAAGCTCAATTGCATAATACTGAACAGTTAGACTATCCCGACGAACAGTTACAAAATCAGATAGAGATTCCAATCGATAATGACTATGACTATTCAGAAAATCCCGATTATTTCGAAGAATCCGAGGATTTTCAGCTGGACAACTCTCCCGATCCGGAGACGTAATTGAATTCCATACATCGTTTGACGAACGGAAATTACCCTATATTGCTATAAAAAACCCACCTTTGAAATTACTTATCGATACAGGAGCCACGAAATCATTTCTGGATCCTATGATTGTCAACAAATATTTCTCTCAACACAAAGTGAATGACCCGTTTATAGTATCTACTTCATTTGCTTCCTCGAAACATAATATCTCTGCAACAATACCAGCTTTCCAAGAATTTAACGAAAACAAACACCTCAAATTCTACGCATACAAATTTCATAACGTATTCGATGGTCTGTTAGGTATAGACATTATGAAATCATTGAATGCCAATTTAGACTTTGCTAATTTGAAACTCTCTACTCCTCGCGCATGCATTCCGATAAAATACTTCGATGCAAATCCATCAGTATTTTTCGAGAAATTCCTACGTGGAAACACAGTGACAAAAATCAGAATTCCTGTTACAACACAATCAGGCGAAATCATTATTCCGCAACAAACCATTCAAAATTGCATAATACCAGAAACCCTGTCAATATCAAGAGAAGGTTGGGCTCTCGTAGAAATACATAATAACTCTAATAATGACACAAATTTCACGATTTTACATCCAATTAGAACTTTCCCGGTCCAGAATAATTTCGAGTTTTATCACATGAATATTCAACCATTATCAGAAATCAACAATAAACAAGCTATAGATAATTTAATTAGAACAGATCATATGAACGAGGAAGAAAAAAGTCATATTCTTCCATTGTGCAGAAAATACACAGATATTTTTCACATAAATGAAAATAACTTAACTTTCACGAACCAAGTAAAACATAGAATTCAAACAACCGATGAAATCCCTGTTCATACTAAATCATATAGGTACCCGTTTGTGCATAAAACCGAAGTTAATTCACAGATACAAAAAATGCTTCAACAAAACATAATAAGACCAAGCAATTCCCCCTGGTCTTCCCCTATCTGGGTGGTTCCGAAAAAAGCCGACGCTTCCGGCAAAAAGAAGTGGCGTATCGTGGTAGACTATAGAAAGATCAACGAAAAAACAATCGACGATAGGTACCCGATACCCAATATAACGGACGTTTTAGATAAACTTGGCAAGTGTAATTATTTTTCGACCTTGGATTTGGCTAGCGGGTTTCACCAAATCGAAATGAACCCCGAAGACATCCCGAAAACGGCATTCAACGTCGAAAATGGACATTACGAATACCTAAGAATGCCGTTTGGCCTAAAAAATGCCCCCGCTACCTTTCAAAGGGTAATGGACAACATTTTGAGAGGCCTCCAAAATGAAATCTGCCTTGTTTATCTTGACGACATCATTATATATTCAGCCTCTCTTCAAGAGCACATTGTTAATCTGAAAAAAGTATTCGATCGTCTACGCGAAACCAATTTCAAAATTCAATTAGATAAGTCTGAATTTTTAAAAAAGGAAACCGCCTATCTAGGTCATGTGATCACCACTGAGGGAATAAAACCGAACCCAGATAAGATAATTGCCATAAAAAAATTTCCAACGCCTAAGACCACGAAAGAAATAAAAAGCTTTTTAGGTCTACTAGGGTACTACCGCAAATTTATACCGGACTTCTCTAAAATCACGAAACCTCTCACAGCACGTTTAAAGAAAGGAGCAAAAATTGACTTAACCCCAGACTATATACAATGTTTCGAAACGTGTAAAGAACTCCTAACGAATAATCCGATCCTTCAATACCCCGATTTCTCAAAATCTTTCAACCTTTGTACTGATGCAAGTCAATATGCCCTTGGAGCCGTATTGTCACAAGGACCTGTTGGTCAAGACAAACCAGTGGCTTACGCATCCAGGACACTCAATCAAGCAGAACAAAATTATAGTACGATCGAGAGAGAACTTCTCGCGATTGTGTGGGCTACAAAGTATTTCCGCCCATATCTGTATGGCCGGAAATTCACAATATTTTGTGACCACAAACCCCTTCACTGGCTTTTCTCAATAAAAGATCCAAGCGCAAGACTCACCAGATGGAGACTCAAACTCGATGAGTTTGATTATACCATCCAATACAAAAAGGGTTCGTTGAACTCAAACGCCGATGCCCTGTCGCGTATAAAAATTAACGATACCAACACTAATGACATATTCTCCTATGTAGAAAATTTCAACAAGACAATGTCTTTAACTAACCCATCTACTTCACAAAATAATACAGCAAACGATAATGAGAATAACATCGAAAATGACGCCGAATCAATAGCTGGCAATATTGATGAAAGCCCAAATTTGAATGACGTCAACCCAAATTCTAATGACACACACGAAGAAGACGATAACGAAACTGCACACACCAGTCACGAAAATCCTATACTAGAAGTTCCCATTTCCGAAACCGCAATCAATAATTTCAAAAATCAAATATTCCTCAAAGTCGTTTTACACTCCCCAGAGCTCCCAAAAATTAAACGATTATTCGAAAACAAAACGAGAACTATTATACAAATTTCTAAACAAAATTTTGAAGAAGACGTGGTAAAAACATTCAGAGAATTCACTACAATTGATAAAACTTTTGCGATAAATTTAGACAAGAAAGATTTGATCCCTAAACTCTGTCAAATATTGAAAGACACGTTCAAAAACTCCGCTTTCAAGCTAATTTTATGTAATAATGTACTAGAAGACGTTTTTTCATTGGATTCTCGTGATGAATTTGTAAAATTATGTCACGAGGGCAAAACAAACCA